GCTACCCAGGCATGTGCCCTGGCCAGGAATCGAACCAGTGACCCTTTGGTTCACAGGCTGATGCCCAATCACTGAGTCACACCAGCCAGGGCTCTTTGGGTTTCTCTTGATTGGGACCCTATGTTCTTCCTGGACTTGTGTGTCATTTTCTGTCATCATTTAGGGAAGTTTTCCATTATTACTTTTCCAAACAGGTTTCCTATCCCTTGCTCCTCTTTCTCTTCTTCTGGGATCTCTATTATATGGGTGTGAATCTGTTTCATGTTCTCCTACAGTTCCCTGAATCCCTCTTTGTTCTTTCTGAGTCTTTTTTCCTTCCCTTGATCTTTCTGGGAGTTTTTCCTAACTTGTCCTCTAGCTTGATGATTCAGCCCTCTAGCTTCATCTAATCTGCTTTTGATTCCTTCTACTGTGTTCTTCAATTCAGAATTTGTATTATTCTTCATTTCCTCCTGACTCATTGATAGTTTCTATGTTCTTTTTCATGCTGATATTGTTATCACTAAGTTCCTTGTGGCTTCCATGTAGTTTTTTTTTTTTTTAATTCTCACTGAGGTCCTTGAGCTTCCTTGTAACCATTGTTTTGAACTCAATATCTGATCATTGATTTGCCTTTATTCCATTTAGTACTCTTTCTGAGGATTACTCTTTTTCTTCCAGTTGTGGGTTGGTTCTCTGTCTTCCCATTTTGGGGGAGACTCTTCTCATTTGTTTCTGCTTCTTAAATTGATCTGTTTTGACTCTTAGTGGTGATTACCTTCTATGGTGGGAAACCCATGAGATTCAGTGGTGCAGTCTCCTTGATCTGCTGAACTTGATGCTTTGGGGATATCTCCATGCTGTTTGTGTTGGCTCTCTGAATGTAATTTGGTTTTGATTGCTTTTGTGTCGTTCTTGGCGGGTCCTTCCCTCCAGCTGTTTTACTGAGTGTCACTCCACCCACCATATCTTGTATGTTGTTGGGCAGGTGCTTCCAGAACAAAACCACAAAGTCCAGGAAACAAACCCTCATCTACACAAATAACTTTCCCTTCTGCAATCCCACTGTGAACACCAAGTGAACCATATTAATAAGGATATAAAGAGATTAAGACTATTATAATAAAGGAAATAAAATATGGCATCACCTACTGAAAGAAATGATTTTGAGAGGGTAGAGGAAGGAGCACTAATAAGAGTAGGGAATCAAAGCAATTCAAAGAGAGACAGTAAAATTTACATATCATAAATAAAAAGGGGAATGAAGGGAAAGGACGTGTATAGTATTAAATTTAAACAGGCATTTAAAACAACTGAAATAAAGTGAGGGAAAGAAAGAAAAGGGGACAAAAAGTAAATAGATAATAAAAAAATAGGAACCAAAGTGGAGATCAAGCTCCACCACAGCACTATGAAAAAAATGAGCTAAAATTAATATAGGTGGGATGGGAATAAGAAGGATGAAAGAAAGAAAGAAAGAAAGAAAGAAAGAAAGAAAGAAAGAAAGAAAGAAAGAAAGAAAAGCTTAAGAGATATCTAGAGTAAAAGAAAGTGATATTGAGATGAGGGAAGAAGAGGGAATACTAAGAGTAGGGAACAAAAATTAGGCTACTACAGGGAAACGTTAAATTTTCAGATAGAAAGAAAGTTTAAAATCTAAAAACAGGCAGAATGAAAGAGAGGAAAAAAGAAAGAAACATGCTAAGATGGGGCAAAATTAAAATTTGAGATGTAAAAAGCATAGGGGAACAGTAAAATTTGAGATTTGAAATAAAAACTTAGTGAACATCTAGAGATAAAATTGAAAAAGTGAAACAACAACTACCCTATCTACAACCAATGAGCAAAGATTACTGAAGATGGAGACAAGATGCAGGTATTTTAAGAGTGAGAAAAAGAGTATGAGGTGACCCTTGACAAGGAAATTGGATTTGAGAGGCTGGATGGGGAGAAACAGTAAGAGTGTGGAATCAAAAGAAGTTGTAGAAAGAAAGAAGACAAAGTTTAACATGAAAATAATAAGAGGAAAGAAGAAGGTAAAACAGGGTAAGAGAAGGGAGGGGCAAAATATGTGAACCGAAATGAACTATAGTATAAAATCTAGTGATTTAATGCATGAACTTGAAGAACAAGAAATGAATGTTAAAAGGTTATGCAGGAGAGAAAGTATAAATCATGGAGAAAACCAAGGTGGATTTCATCTCAGTAGTATCTAGTATTTACCACTGTTTTGTCTTTCTGGATCCACCTCTGGTGATGTCAGATGGTGCCCCAGTCTTGCCCTAGGCAGTCTGTTTGAGGTTTCCATAGATCCATTGTCCGTGGCTGACTTCTTCAGTTGTTAATCTAGTCACTCTGCACCCAGCAGTCAGGCTTAAGCAACACAGGGTGGGATAGGGTACTTTCTGTGATCCGGATATTGTTTCCCCTCAGACTGCTGCCACTCAGAGGGGAGTAGACTGCCTGAGCTTGATGGCTGCTGCAATATGAGCTTGACTAGGCAGCTACTCATAATTCTCTTCCCAAAACCTCTGCCCCCAGACTCTCCTCAAGTGTCTCTAGTCCCTTCTCTCCCCCTTTTTTCCAGAGCCCAGGGAAAGTGACTGCAAGTCAAAATTTATGCATTGGCCATTCGAACAGCTCTCTGTGTCTATAGTCATCAGTCTCTGGCAGAGAGCAACCCTGCCACTTTTCACACCTGAATGTCATCTCAGTATTGTTTTGGCTCTGGTACTCTATGCTGGGGATCGCTGCTGAGTTTTATATCCCCACTTCTCAGTGGGGTCCAGCCAGCCACTTAAACATCCCTCCAGCACCTCAGCTGCTGCTTGTGGGCACCCAGCCAGCCCTCTCATGTCTCCACTGCACTCCTTACCAGTCATGTTGTGCTGAAGCAGAGTCTTCTGTTTGTCTGTGCTTATAAGGCTTCTCTCTCACTATTGTTCAGTTGTTTGTTCTGGGTGATTTCTCCACAATTTAGATGGAATTCCAGATTGGTCCTGGGAGGAGGTTAGTGTAACTGCCACTCACTCATCCGCCATCTTGGATCTCTCCCACTGGGAAGCTCTTACTGTTTTTGGTTTATAAAACAAATGCCTTTCACAATAATCATTCATTCTCGCAGCATTTTATTCTGGCAGTATCATTTTTTTCTTAAATATAGAATTCCCCAGTGAAAGTATCTGGGCTGGTGCTTTCTTTTGAAGGGTTATTAATTATTGATTCACTTTCTTTGACTATAACTATTCAGATCATCTATTTCTTCTTATGTGAGTTTTGGTAGGTTGTGCCTTTGAAGGAATTGGCCCATTTCATCTTTGTTATCAAATTCATGGGCATGGACTTTTCAATAATATGTCTTTATTTTCCTTTTAGTTTCCATGGGATTAATAGTAATTGTCCCTTTTTCTCTTCTGACAGTAGTAACTTATGTCTTCTCTTCTTGGTTAACCTGGGTAGATGTTTATCAATTTTACTAATATTTTTTAAAGAACCAACTTTTGGTTTTGTTGATTTTCTTTATTAATTTCCTGTTATCAATTTCATTGATTTCTGCTCCATTTTTTATCCTTTCTTATCTTCTGTTTTTTTTTTTTTTTGCTATATTCCTTTCTCTAATTTCTTCAGGTAGAAGCTTAGGTATTAATTTTAGATCTGTCTTCTTTGCTAACAAGTGCAATCAATGCAATAAATTTCCTCCTAGCCCTGCTTTCATTCTGACCTACAGATTTTGATATCTTTCATTTTTACCCTAAGTATTTTAAAATATTTTCACAATATTGTTTTCTTTTGAGCCATATGTCATTTTACAATGTGTTGTTTAATCTTTAAATATTAAATCAATCTTGTTAAATTTCTAGTTTAATTGCTTTGTGGTCTGAGAACATAATTCTTTTTAAACTTGTTTAGATCTGTTTTATGACCCAGAATGTGGTCTACTTTGGTGAATATTCCATGTGATCTTGAGAAGAATGTATATTCTGCTGTTGTAGGGTGAAATATTCTGTAAATGCCAGTTAGAAATAATTGATGGTATTGTTCGTTTTAACAACATCCTCACTGATTTTCTGTCTTCTGAATCTGTCAACTATTAATAGAAGGGTGTCTCTTCTTCTTATAACACCAACCACTCTGCTTCAGCATGACCTCCTCTGAACTGATCCTATCTGCAATGATCTTATTTCCAAACGGGGGCACATTCTGAGGAATTGACGTGAGGACATCAACATAGCTTTTTATTTTGAAAGGGGGTGAGGGTTACAATTTAATCCATAACAGCATCATTCACAAGCCATTCCCACCTAGTGGGTGGTGGGCCATGGAGCCTGATGTGTAAAATCAGAGGCCTAGCTCCAGAGAAAGCAGTTTCAAATCCCAGCTCAGAATTAGCCCCAGCACAGCCCAGTGCCCCCACAGCAGCCTTTCATCATGAATATGGCTCTGTCTGTAGTACAGTGTAAACCCCACTCTTCCTGGTAGATGATACACGATGGGACAATGTTTCATGAGGAAGTGCCTTTGAATTTTGGCTGATGACAGAAGGATGAGAATTCCGGCAGCACATGACAACCTTGGTCTTTGTAGGAGGATACACAAGCTCATATCATTATCTGTTTAAATATCTGCCTCTGTCATCAGACCACCAGTGCCTGTGGCTGAATTAGTATGTTTATTCACTGCTGAGGGCAATACACACCTCAGTTCTGAAACTCAGGTGTGATGGGCCCATAGCTTCATTTTTTTCCAGGGATTAATTTTTGCCTTGAGGAGCTTAGTCTTGGTTAACTCAGGAGTCTTTTCCTCTTTCCCCAGGAACACACAAGTGTGGCAGGTGGGGCTTTGTAGAGATGAGTCAGGGTCAGCCCCAGGCTTCATGGGCTTCTTTGGTCCACTCCAATCAACATTTGTCATCCCTGAGAAACCCCAGCCAGCCAGGGCCTGTGCCACCACTTCTGTAGGTTGTATAACCCGTCCATACTCCTCTCTGCTTGGATACTGACCTGCTTCCTCCCTGCTCACAGGCCCAGGGATCATTCCATATTTCCTGATGTAGAACCCAGTGTGCCCCTCCCCGGCCCCAGAGCTGATTGGATGAGGTCTCATTGTATCCCATCAGGTATGTAGGGGTCAGCCCAGAGCTCCCACACCAGGTTCGGCCACAGGGACCTCTGGGGAGTTCAACAAGGTCCCACCCTCCACAGGGCAGGGGGAGGAGGCTGGCCCTTCTGGCTTTCTGGCGGCTATGTAGTGCCTGGGGCTCTTTCATGCCCTCCCCACAGCTCCCTCACTGTGGGGCTGTGAGAGGCCAACACAGGGCTCCTTCTCAATGACCCTCTGGGGTGTTGGGGTGTCTACAAGGGAGCCATTATAATGAGGGCATGTGGAGGGGGGAGGACAGGACAGTAAAGAGCTGGTGGAGTAATGGATGGGGCCCCATGGCCTCAAGAGGGGCAGGAATGGAGCACTGGGGCCAGTGTAGGTGGTGACATCAGAAAATACAGACATGAGGGAGGATTTGTGACAGGGTAGCTGTCATTGGTGGCTTGATGGAGTTCAGGCTTTCTAGGGCATTTGCCTGGAAGCAAAGCAGCACCTGGAGAGTCCACTAAGACTCCAGACCCCCAGGTCCCTTAGCCCCCCAAGCTGTCAGGCTCATGGAGTCTTAGGAAAAATCATTTAGTCACATGTGGGCAGGTGTGGGTTTGCTCCTTTCCATGTCAGGTTTCCTGAGGTCTAGTGCTAGAAAATTTCCAGCATTGTTCTGGGAAGTCTCAAGGTTTTTCCTGAGATCCAGAGAGTAGGGGACATTACTGCATGAGTGACAAGTGACACACAGAGGGGTTTCTTCTCTGACTTTCACCACTGGTCCTTCTTCTGAGCCAGGGCAGAGAGCCAGGAGGACAGGGGTGGGTATGGGGCCTGTGCCTGGCTCACTGGGTCCTAGAACACAGCCTTGGGAAGGCTCAGCTGTGTGGGTTCTTGCTTCTGAGCAACACTCACTATTACCCCTGGTGCCCTGGCCCCCCCTTGGCTAGTAATGTCCATGAACAAACTGGGCTGTCCCTGTTCATTCCAGGAGATTTCTGAGCCCAGACATCTTTCTGGCACCAAAGTTCAGGGACTGGCCCTTGACGGTCCCATGCAGGGGCTATTGGAAGAGTGTGGATGTGCCCAGGAAGGAGGGGCCAGTCTAGAGCACCAGCCTGCCCTGCTCTCAGGCAGCCTCCCCAGGGCAGCAAGCAGCCGGGATGCAGCCCCAGCCCAGGTGACTCAGGCTGTAGAAAGGATGTGCTCTGTCTCTGGCCCAGGTACTACCTTCCACAGTGTCCATCAAGACCTTGGTTTTCTGATCCTTATAGTGCACACAGTTGTGCTGCAGGCAGGCCCTCCCAGTCACTCTCTCTAAAATTCTCTGCTCCTCAGGTCACAAAGATAGACCCTGATGGAAAAGAGGCAGACAACTGTGATTCTAGAGCCCTATGCTTGGGTCAGACTCTCATTCTCTGCATCAGCAGCAATGAAGAAGAAACATGTGTATTTTGTTCTTCTCCCCAGACCACATTCTCCCACTCCTCTTTCCTCTTCCTCTTCCTTCTCATGGGTTTCCCACTCTCTGTGTCCTCCACAGGCCCAACCTTCTGGACCTTGGCCTGTCCCGCCCCCTGTCCCCTCATCTGACCACAGCAAGTTTTCATCTGTCACCAGTAGGGCCACTCCTCTCCTGCCAGTTCGCAAGGCCAGTAGCCTCCGCATGGTCTGGGGTCACCCTTACTCCTTGCCTTGTCAATCCCCATTCCTCTCCTTCCTTTCCCCTTGCCCAAGTGGTCTTCCACACTGCTAGTCATTGGCCTCTAATCCCAAAACTAACTCCTGATCCATTTCCGGCTTCTGGCTCCCTGGTCAGAGGGTTCACCTTTCCCCACCTCCCAGTGAGTCACCACTTCCTGCCCCATATCCTCTCCATGGGGCCATCCTGCAAACTTCCCCAGGGGCCCTAATTCCCTGCCACAGGGGACCACTCAAAGATTCAAGTGTCAGATACCTCTTCTGCTCAGCATACAGAATATAGAGGGAAGAGGCCACAGGTAATCCTGGTGGGACCCCTAGAAATCCAGCAAGCCCTCTGTCCCTGTGGTCTTCACAGTAACATGTCTTCTCAGGCATGTGGGTGTCTAGCCCGTGTCACTGGGTGGATGCCTTTCCTGAGCATTGGTGGAGAAGCGATGGTGCCCTGTGCCTGGTGTATATCCCACTCCCCAAACCAGCCTCTCTGGGAGAAAGTGACTAGGTCCCTCTGGCAAAACAAGGACTGTCTGGGCTGGGGGTGGGGGAGGGGACTGTGGCAGTGGGAAGAGAGGTGAATGCTGTAAGGTATTGGGGCCTGGAGGCTGGGGGAGGTCAGGGACCCCGCTGGGGCAAAGCGCCCTGTTCACTCTAGTCCTGGGAACTCAGAAGGCAGTTGCTGAGCTCTGCAGTTGAGCTGGCTCTCAGCTTCACTGGGTCAGGGACATGTTCCTGCAGCCTCCCTGGGGCAGGCTGTAGGTCTCTGAGGATGTGGGAGAAAGTTGCACCTAGAGGTGAAGGCTGCCTGTCCCTGAGGTCCTTCTGGGGACTCGGGGGACCCCCACACCATCCTTCCCTCCTTTCCCTGCAGGGCTCTGGACAGCCAGAGCTATTCCCATTTCCCATCTCTGGCACCAGCAAGGATAGCCGTGACTGGCTGGACATTGGAGAACTCATGTTCCAACTCTTCTGTTGGTCCAGCTGACCCAAGCAGCTTGAGAGTGGATGGCCAGCAATTGACAGTTCCTCCATGGCTCTAGGAAGGTGAGCCTGGGTACTGCTGACTGAATGTGGGAAGGGGGACCCCTGGATACTCAGAAACCACACAGGCTGCCTGCCCCTCAAAGGGGGCCCACCTGGGCTGGCTGTCCTGACCACAGCCTGCTGTGCTCAGGGTCCAGAATGTTGCTTTCTTTTGTCCTCTGTAGCCTCCTCAGTTTTGATCACCACGTTTGGGCCCAGTGAAATCAAGCACTGGAGACACACTCTGTGACTGGTGCCCCCTCACCAGGAAGCACAGCATTTGGAGGCCATGAGAGCCTTACCCCTCCTGCCCATGGCCTCTAGTTTGCACAAGTTCATCAGGTGAATGCAGCTGCCAGGACCCCAAGTTAGGGCTCTGCTTTCTAATGCTAAGAGCATATGGGAAGTCAGGCAGAGTTTGAGGAGCTCCATAAGACCCTTCCTGCATGGTAAGCCCCTTCTCTTCTCTGTCCATCTGCTAGAGGGGTGAGTCTCACCCTGAGTGGAGCCTCTGTGTGGTCCTAATGCCCCTGTGGGGCACAGGCCAAAAGCCAAGTAAGAACTCCCTGCCGGAGGCTCCAGCATCCCCAGGCGCGGCATGGCAAGGCTGGAGGGTTGGCAGACTGACTGACTCTGGAGCTGCCTCCCAGCTGCAGCCCAGGTGCTGTCCAGTCAGGGGAAGAGTCATAGCCTGACCCTGCTTCCAGAAGAATGACCACTTGTTCTACTCCTGCACCTGACCTCCACATTTTCCCTGTCCATTGTCTCTCTCAACACACACTCAGCAGTCCTCCAAATCAGATATGGGTCATCTTGGTCTTTGTGAGACCACATATCACTTTGCAAACCTGGTCTCTCCCCATTCTTGATGGGGTAAATGGACACATTTGGAGTTGAATAATAACTCCATGGGACAGGAGCCTTGTTCCCTAGGGCTCCTCAGCCCCCAGTGCAAAGCAAAGGAAAAACTGGGTTCTTGGAGGCTTAGCCCAGGTCCCAGGGCTACAGGGCAACTGAGAAACGTGGGGAAGAAGCTTGTGGGGAGGGGTTATGGTTGGCTAGTCCCCTTGCTCTCATCTTGCAAACTTGCCCTCTCAAGAGATGTATCTGACCTCTAAGAGGGGAGGTGGGAGCCACGTTGTAGCCACTTTCCTTTCCAAGTGCAACTTTGGGGGCAATGTTTTATGAGCTCTTGAGAAAGATGACCCTTCTACCAACAACAGAAGTTGCTGTTTGACCTGGAAGAGCTGCAGCTGTAGTCACCGTTCCCATGAAGACATGATTGGACTTGGAGGGTTTATTTCTTCCACCCAGAAGGACGTCCTGCTATTCTCTGAGAGAAGTGAAAGGGAGGCAAGGTCATGAGACCTGCAGGAGAGCTCCAGGCTGCTCCAGGGCTGAGGGGGGAGGTTGGTGGTGCTCCAGGGCCCAGGGCCTCCTTGGAGCCCTTCTGCTAGGGCTCCCAGAGACTTCCGTGTTGCCCAGAGCTGGTCAAATGGAGCCTAAAGAGGGCGAGTGATCTCCCCTGACTCTCCTCACTTCAGGCTCCCAGCACCACTCAGCCTGCTCTCGTATTTCCTCCAAGTGGTAGAAAATAGTTGTTAAAACCACTTCACAGAAGCAGGGGCAGAAGACAAGGGTATGTGGGGCTGACTGGATCATTTTCTGGTAACCTGGTTACAGAAAGATAATTTTGATTGTTGTTCTTACTGTGTTTTATAATGAATAAATGCTGTTAAATGGTCTTTTGTAAAGAAAATTGATTCCGTCTGAAGCCCATCCTGACAGCTTCACTTCCTCAAGCAGCAGCTCAGAAGGCCCTGGCCTGAGTTTTTACATGACCCACTGACCATCAGTATGAGCATGAGTAGCCAAACTTTGGAGCATTCACACATTTAGCTCTCCTTGATACATTTTCTCTAGTCTTTTTAGTGATCCAACAGCATCTGTGCTGCATACTGTACAGATCTTGAGAAATTAGCATTAATGTTGTTCTAGATGAGACCTGCGTCATGTGATTTTTCTTTTTGTTTTTAGTTTTTTTAATTTATTTTTATTGATTATGCCATTACAGTTGTTCTATTCCCCTCCTCATTCCCCTCCACCCTACCCCCATCCCCTCCATTACCCCCCTTTAGTTTATGACCATGTGTCTCAAGTTCTTCAGATTCTATATTTCCCATACTATTCTTGCCCCTCCATCAATTTTCTATCTACTGTCTACACTACTTATTTTCTGTACCTTCTCCCCCCTTTTCCTCCTCCCACTCACCTGTTGCTAACCCTCCTTGAGATCTGCA